CATCAGGAATATGGTTCTGCTTTCAGTCTACAAGGTTTTCCATTTTCCGTGATGTAATAATCACATGGCACTTTTTTGAAGCACAACTGCTATCAGTTTTTTAACATTTTATAACAATATCATTCTCTAGGACATTGTGTCCTGTATTTCTTCCTGCTCCAGATTATAAACCTGGCACCCAAAAGCTCTAGCAGCTGATCCGATATCAGACACAATAAAAATTACATGTGTACTATGTGAGATTTCTCAAAGATTAACTGTGGGACCACATTTACTTCACGAAGAGTCAAACCTAAAGTGCACCGGACCCTGGCGTACGCTACCTGCATGTTCGGGTCCTGCATTGAGACCTTGAGCCCTTGAGTCCAGTGAGCTGCGGGTTCCTGTGGAGAACCGGCCCTTCATTAGCATGCTGCAAATCGACACAAACACTACAGCTCACACTAACTAACTAACAAACTGTTAACTATCAGTCCAATTATTCTAAACGTGTTTTTCGTGAATTTCTAAACTCAGCAACGTTAAGAGTAAAACCTGCTGTTTATCAACTGCACAAATATTGTATGTCATCACTATCGGCATTGTAAATAAGCACCATAACAAGATACAAGTTTGATAATGCGCTCTAATCATTCTGATCAATCACGCAAATAACTGCAAAATGCTATTTTTGTCCATCGTGCAGACATTTAATGCATTTAAGAACAAAAAACACGTTTGTAAAGACACTATGAATGAAACTAACTGTTCTGGTGTAAGTGATGCTTTTGTAAATATTCTGTATTAATTGTTATAATGTTGGACTTCACAATTCTGACACCGTAAATAAGCGCTGTGACAAGACAAGTGTTCTAAGCCTTCTGACAAATTATTTATTCATTTTTAAAATAATATTTTGAGTGATTATAATATTCAGCATAAATAATGTTATAAATGCTTTTATGTCAAATTTGAAAACATGGGCAAAACTGATTTCCTTTGTATACATAATTAAATCAACAAATTCGTAATTTAAACCATTTAAAGCCGAAAACAAGGTTGGAAATGAAACGGACCTTTTCAGGTGTGTGTGTTTTCTCTGGCCGAGCTGCGCTGTTGGAACAGGAAGGAGCTGACGCTCTGCAGCTCTTTTCCTTATCCTCGTCTTTCTCTTCATGAGCGTCTCTCTGGTGCGGTCTCTTCATCGGTCTGCTCTTCTCCTCAGAAGCACTGCCAGGCGTCGATTCTTCCCTGAACTGCAGCGTGTACGGATAGAGCCGATTGACCATGTAGAGCTTCTGCCCGGGTTTAAAGGTCACCTGGTTGCAGAGGTGAAGGAAACGCTGTTGGAACGCTGTTACAGCCAGCGACCTGTACAACAGTCTCAATTACTGACAAACACGGAAGTGACAGCATCATGGATCGTGTGTGATCACGTCAGGATGTGTAACACGCGTGTGCTTTACCTTATTGCCTTTGCCCACAGCCACATCGTCCACGCTTGTAGGATTGCTACCTAACTGCAAAGCGACGTACAGATGAGCGTTCCAGCATTCTGGCTCAAACGTTTGATGGAAATATTTCACTTGTGCTTAAGAAAACATCTTCATCATCTTACCTGCTTCACAGTGACGATTCCTCGGTTACAGTCCGCTCTCAGTTCAACTGTAAAGTTCAGAAGCGTGTTATGATTAGCAATGTGCTGATGACAGATTTCAATATTCCAGTGCACTTTATCCAGCGACTTCAGAAAAGCAAACTAGCACAGCTCTGATTTCAGCCAGTGAGCCAGTGCTGCAGATGCTACAGCTGATCATTAGGAAACTCAGTTTGAATCCTTGCACTCAAAGTCAAGCCATCTGAGGTAATTCAACTACAAAACCTCCCTTACAGATTTAATAAAATTCAGATGTGTAAGGTTTACATTCACACTGAGTGGCACATTTCTCTTTCCCTCTACAGCCTGCGTGTCTGCAGGCCCCGTGTCGCTGGCTTTACCTTGCTGTCTGGAGCATTTCTGGTCTTTAATCTTAGTTTCTGGACCTCGACCCAGAGTGTGTGTGAGATAATGAAGGAGCTGAATGGGTTTGTGGCTCTTATCCTCACTAACGAGCCAACAAGTCGGCATTTCCCCTGAGAACCACAACAACAAAGCAGACGATCACAAAACCTCCTACTGCACGTTCATCACTTTTATTACAGAATTATGATGTTAATTATACACTACATGTCAGTATTACACTAACTATAAACTAACTATAAATACATTATCACAATGCGAGATATTGTTATATTTCTTTAAACACTACATGTTGATTTTTTTCCCCATTTTTTTTAAATTATGGCAGGTTTAGCACAAGAAGTAAAAACGTCTCATTTCTCACACCCATCAGGTGCAATATTTTAACGCTTTTAAATAATGACAAAATATTAACATGACAATCTGACTCACAAACATCTTACAGCTGTGCAGAAATAAAATCTTACAGGAATAAAAGTGGACCTTTGTTAACTACACTGCTGAAAAAAACAACAGAAACCATCACACAAAATTCTAATGGTTTCCACCACAAATACCATTACAAACCATCAGCTAACCATTAAAACCAGCACCATCACTGGTCCTTAATGGTATCCACTAGACATAACATGCCACCAACAGAAGACCCACAGGGACCATTACAGGTTCCATTAAAACCATTACAAGTTCTATGAAGATTTCTATTGTTTTTTTCAGCAGAGAGCTGGAGGAACTGTAACTAGTTGGATAAACCAGTAACTAGCTGGATAAACAGTTACCTGTGTTTTGTAACTGGTTGCTCCAGTCCTCAGTTAACGTTATAAAATATTCTGTTCATCAGTTTATCCCAGTAAAAGAAAAATCTCATTTCTTCTGAATTAATGAAAGGCTGAAAACAAAGTAACGCTGAGGAACATGGAACAAGCGCCGAGTCCCAAATGCCACCGACTTCCTGTGAAAGCTCACTGCACAGGCTGCATGAAAAGCGCCTCAGACGCGCTGTGTAGTGAACCGAGTCCTCCATCTGCTGGCATTTGGAACTTAACCAGTTTGAAATGATGGCGCATGTGTGGTTCACTTCCGGTCGAGTTCAGGGTCCAGATTTCAAAATAAAAGTTGAATCTCGTCCAGTGACGTTAAAGCAGTAGTATGAAACTTTGTGCTTTTTTCAGACATGAGTGTTTATTTAAAATATTTATTACAGAAAAACCTCATTGGCTGTTGCTTTGTGGCTGTAGTTCTCTTGTTTTTTTTTTTTGCTCTTGATGCTGTTGCTGATGGTCTTTAAAATGTAGTTTAGTGGTGGCGCTGTAGAAAAGAAATATAGGTCAGCAAGTTTCATAAGAATTATTATGCAACTTCACCAGGGGTGAGCTTATAAAAGTGGGCCCGGTTTGAAATAGCCTCGGGTTCAGTTCGTTCCACCAACAGCGTGTAGGTGCAACTAATTCCCGCTAATTCGAGATGTTGATCTGGCCCTGACAGCCGCAGTCAGTTCCCCATCTGATGGAGAAATGCTCCTTTAGTCTCGGCTCGCTCTGTTGGTGGAGCTTGTTTAGAAAGGAGACAGTAACTTTACCAAGATACTCTGACTGTTAGCTAAGGTCACACAGAAAATAGTAAATAATAATGAAATGTAGCTAGTGTTAGCTGCCTGGGATTATGCCATTGGGTTGCTAGTTATGATTTCAACACGACGAGCAACATAACAGAAAAACTGCAGAGAATTCCCCACTGAGGACAGGACATGGCTTTGCTACAGAGCTGCAGGGGTGTGTTGGAAGGGGCGTGTACATTCTGCAGGAACTGTCAATCACCTCGTTAACCACACCCCTTTATTTAATCATTAAAAAACTCCTATAAAACACAGTTATCGTAAGGAAAGATATCGGGGGGATATCAAGGTCAACAGAACTTTTAAAAATGACAGAAGACTGTTCCTGGAAATAATTTGTGGAGATGAAACTTAAAGTGTGTTTTTGGCTCCTGCTCCTTTGACTGACATGGGAATGGGCGGGGCTAAATACGGCACTGCAGCCAGCCAATAGGGGCCTCAGGGCCTTTCTGGCTTCATTTTTTCACCCCTGGTAGGATGTTCACTCATACAGTCATTGGTAAGAACATCTAATTAAAATGAATCAAGTAATTAAACAATTAATTAAATAAAATACTATTTGAATTGGTTCTAGTCTAAACTAACATGCATAACACACACTTGATTTCTTAAGTAAAAAGTACAAATAATAGATTATGACAAAATCACAGGACTTTTTTTTTTTACTTTTTTACTATGATTTTTCCTTTTTTAAGCTTTAAAGTATTTTCTTTGGTTTTTGTTGTAAAAGCTCAGTTGGGAGCACATTAGCCTGAAGCTCTAACCGTCTCTCGATCGAGCCCAGGTTTTGGCAATTCTGATTATTTACAAATGATATCTTCTGGCCTTTGTGATAATCGGACAGTACGTGCTAGCGTTCAGTCGGTGGAAGGAACTGGTTCAACATTCCATGGCGTCACTGGCGGCCCTGTGGGTTTTCTGTAATGTAGATAAATTCTCTCAGATGTAGCCAGATTTATAAGCCAGAAGCTGTTGATCTCCTCAGATTTTCACACGCAGCAGTCTCTAGAGTTTACCCAGAATGGTGTAAAAAGCAAACACCATCATGTGAGCAGAGGGTCTGCCAGCTGAAACGCCTCGTTGATGAGAGCGATCAGAGGAGAACGGCCAGACAGGAAGTCTACAGTAACTCATATAATCGCTCTGTACAACTGTGGTGAGAAGCGTAGGCTTGTGCCAAGTAAGCTTTCATGTTCCAGGCACCTGTAAAGATGAATATGGACTAAATTGTCTTCAAGATGAATATGGGCCAAGTCTGAAACTTTGGTTCTGGGTTTGGATTACAGTGTCTTAGTCTCCGCCCTATGGGATAATTGCTGCATCCCTGATCTTGGGAAGTATGTGGCAATATTCAGCTGGTGAAAAAGGAGTCACCCCTCACAGCTCGGTTCCATGGTGTAATGGTTAGTGCTCTGGGCTTAGAGTCTAGTGAGCTGAGTTCAAATCAAAGTGGAACCCGTAAAGCCTTTCTTCCAGGTTCTATGCTAAAATAGATGAAATATCCTGCCTGAAGCATAGGTTTGGAGGCTTTCGGTCTCTAAGCACTTGTGAAAATTTTCGGAAGAAGACAAATTATTGGGGAAAAAAAACCTTTTTTCATATATTTCAGAATGAACAATTTTAAAATCCAATTTTTGGATGAAACAGTAACACCTTTCCAACACCAAAGCCGAAATAGCTCAGTTGGGAGAGCGTTAGACTGAAGATCTAAAGGTCCCTGGTTCGATCCCGGGTTTCGGCAGTGGAGTTCATTTATTTGATTACGTCTTAGTTGCTGCCCTGTGGGACAAGTGCAGCTTACCTGTTCTCAGTCAGTATATGGCAGTATACAGCTGGTGAAAACTAAACAGTCACCGAGGCTTGGCTCCATGGTGTAATGGTTAGTACGCTGGACTTTGAATCCAGTGATCTGAGTCCAAATCTCAGTGAAACCTAATGCCTTTGTTCAAAGTTCCTTATTAAAGTAGCTAAACTGTCTAAAAAGCAGCTCAGTTCTTAAGCTTCCAATGCAATTTTTAATGTCACCATCTCCAACCAGGAAAAAGCCAAAGAAAACACTCTCTCCACTCGAACTTCCAACTTGGGGTAGTCTTCTCAACTACAAGTTCCCTCCTCATTTACAGATCCCCGTGACTGCACACAGCATCAGACATAAACAAAGTACTGCTTTGTACCTTCAAATGTGATATACTGTATATACAAGTATTTGCTTTAGATCAATCAACATACAGACATATTTACTTGTTAAATCTAAAACATTGACTAAACAGGTCACTCTTTTTGAGGAGGAAAATGTACATTGCTTATTACAATTAGCTGGCTAGCTTGTTGCTAACAAAAGATGAACATAGAGGGCCTCCATGTCTTTTTTTTCCACTTCACAATTTGACCATGCCGAGGTGAAATAATGAACAACCTGCAAATTACTAGAAACAAGGTAAGTCAAATGCAGCGTTAAGATACTGGGGATAACAAGAGCATAAATTTGCATTTTTATTTATTGATCTTTGCATTTTTAATGATTTTAAAGATGTAGAGATGTTCCCTAAATAAAGTATTGGAACAGCAAGGCAATTTTTTTGTTTTTGCTATACGTTGAAGATATGAATATGAGAAGATAAATCAGAAATCCAAATCCTGATATTTACATCTAGACGTCTTAAACAACTTAGAGCATGGCACCTTTTGTTCGAACCCACCCATTTTCAGCTGACAGGTGTTTCTTGTTGCCCAGGTGAGTCCCGTTAGATTGATAGTTTAAACAGTTAATAGCTCTGAATGTCTACTCTTAGTTTGCGCCTTGGGTTTCACCTGTGAAAACTGCATTTGCTGTTAAAAAAAGATAAACTAGCATGAAGACCAGGGAGCTGTCTATGGGAGAAAAGCAGAAATAAATAGATTCAAATTAAATTAAACCAAAATAAATTGTAAATATGTGAATTTATCCCTAATGAGTGAGTCAGAGGTGATGGTGGTGAGAAGAAACTCCCTGAGACGATATGAGGAAGAAACCGTGAGAGGAACCAGACTCTTCTGTAACTCTTCCCTTCTGTAACTGCGTCCTGTGAAACTGTGAAAATTCATCAGAGCCTTCATGAGTGCTTCAGGAAAGCTCGTGAAAAGCTTCATGAAAGAAGAAGGCTGCAGTTTGGTGACGTTAGTGGATCATTGGCATGAGGCAGTTATTGCAACCAAGAGACACGCAAGCAAATATTAAGTGTTATTTATTTTACTTTACTTTAACACTATCCGTTCCTATAATTTTGCTCACCTAAAAACTGGGAGGTCTGCTAGCAAAGGTCCCATGTTCTGAGTTGTTTAAAACGTCTAGATGTAAATATCAGGAATTGAAAGCTGCAGTTCTGCTCTATCGTCTCATATTCACCTTCTGATCTCAAACCCAAATGTGTATACCCTGTATAGCAAAAAAAAAAAAAAAAAGAATTAATCTTGCTGTTCCAATACTAATACAAATTAAGTAATACATATTACTACTGTATGTTACAATTATGTATGTGTTACAATAATGCTGGCAAAATGTAATGTACCTTCGTGCTCACACCCCTCCACTGTGCTCCTAACAGGACAGGAAATTTCCCCTACGTCACCAAACGTCACACCGCCTGAGCTCCAGCTGCCACTTTGTCTATCTGCTCATCTGATTTTGTTCCATCAGGCATACCCCAGCAGCGATCTGGTTCTCTGTGACGCACATTATTCAAAGGCCACTCACTGAGAAAGAACTTAAGACTGCATTATTTTTCTAGGAAATTGAATCGGTTGCTTTCGCATAGCTCACATTTTTATGAGTATTTTAGGTACATTGCTATTCTTGTTATTAATTTGTTTCTGATTTCTTATTGTGAGTGCTATACAATTCCCCTCTAACAAAAATGCAAAACTAATCAAATGTTCATATGTGGATAATCAAATCAATATTAGTGAACAGGTCATTATTATTATTTATCCCACAGCACTGTTGAGTTCTGCACTCTGATTGGTCAGAAGGTGTTGATTAGTTTTCTATAACAGCAGCTCTGACAGTAGCGCAGGTTTATATTAATGCGCTCGTTCTGATACGTTATCGTTTCTATAGTAACGGCTCGTTCACAGGGACGTGTACAGCGCACGCTCCACATAAATGGATTAAAAAATGTGCGTCATATTTGATATAAAGTTTCTGTAAGGAGCCATTTTTTAACATGAATGGAAGGAGTCTCTACCTGGCGACCGGCGCTTCATTCTCGTGACGGACCATGCTCCTCTGCAGTGGGTGGCCAGGGCAAAGGACGCCAATGCTAGGGTGACTCGATGGTTTCTCCCTTTGTAGGATTTCTCCTTCCAGATGCACCACCATGGGAACGCTGATGGCCTGTCCTACCGGCGGTAGGCTCGGAGCTGAGACGGGTGCTGTGACGGCGGGCCTGCAGCCCACTCGCTACAAACACTGCACGCTCCTCAAGTCACTGCCTCACGGGTGCTGAACTGACAGCGCCATTTCAGAGCCCCCAGTGCTGTGGATAGAGCGAGAGCACATGGCTGCAAGGTGGGATGGCAGAAACACACACGGCTGGCAGCCAGTGATTGCTGTGGCAGCTCCTCACCCTCCTGGAGTTCTCCTGGAGTGTAAAAGGGTGCAGCAGACACAGCAAGGTGAGCTAGTATTATCTTCATGATATCGCTGATCCCTTCCTCTCCCTGTCTTAGAGACAGATGACAGCAAAGAAGACCGCGCTACCCTTCAGTGACGTGTGACGTCACGGCTGCTGTCACCATAAAATCACTTTCTCAGGAAGAATACCAACATGGGCATCAGTTCCAGCACATTCCCTGTTATGTGCTGAGCTTGTCGGACAGTGTCAGATAAAACGGCACTAACTGGGGTGTTTTTTAGAGCAGTTTTTCTGTAGCCTTATGCCGGTTCATGAAGCCTCCCATAATCAGATTTCTGTCTAACCTCATGCTGTCTTCGTTTAATAGACTTTCCTCCACTGCTTCGACACAGCTGAAATATCTCCATATCTCAACATATCAAGGCATCTCCACTTGGTAAAAGAGCTTTTCACTGAATGAACAACAAAATGTTCAACTCTATTCAATTCAATTTTATTTGTATAGGGCTTTTAACAATGGATATGAAACATCTTTACAGAAATATATAAATTCCAGATATACATTTTAAATGTGTAAATTTATCCCTAATGAGGAAGCCAAAGGCAGTGGAGCTGAGGAAAAACTCCCTGAGACGATATGAGGAAGAAACCTTGAGAGGAACCAGACTCAGAAGGAACCCATCCTCATCTGGGTGAATTTCCCCACTGTGGGATCAATAAAGTTTATCTTATCTTACCGGATAGTGCGCTTATAAATCATTCCCTTCTATAACTGTGTACTACATGGACAAACAGTGCAGTTGTGTAACCAGGAAATTATGAGCTTATGAGCAATTTATGAATAGGAGCAGCTGAGTCATTTCTGAATTGATTATAGTTTTACCTTGAAGTCTATTTTGTTGAAGTTATTATCGTTCAATGATGGAGACTCGAGTGCAAAACTGTTTGTATCAACTGCAGTCTAAAGATATCTTCATGGTTTCTATATGGTACCATCCTCTGCAATCTCATGGAATCCGATCAGAAGCAGGGCATCAGGATGGATCAGGCAGGTCTGGAGAGCAGAAGGGGTCAGGATCACTGATATCTCAGGAGTAGCATGTGTAGCTCAACACAGAGAGAGAGAGAGAGAGAGAGAGAGAGAGAGAGAGAAATACAAATTATTAGGTATGCTCATGGACCTGTAATGGTTAAAGACAATGTACACTGTGTGTTATTTAGCTACACCAGTAGCTTCCAGGGAAACTGAAGCTGACTGGTGCACTGCAGTGTTAGCCTTAGCTTCATGCTTCTGAATTGGCCTCAAAAACGTGTTTCTGCACCAATCTGACAGCTGGTCAGCAGCTCCACCACTAATATCACGTGAATAGATACAAATCTTTGTTGGCAATAAATTATTGTATCTTTAGAGCAACACATTGTTGATCTCATTAATGGCTTTCTGTTACCTTTCTGTAATTTTACACACACACACACACACACACACACACACACACACACACACACACACACACACACACACACTGTTCAAAATGTTTCATAATTAGTTCATGCAAATAAAACAAAGGCAAGAACCGTTTCAGCTTCCACAGCCAAGCAAAATAAAACCACTGTTCCTCTATGTGAGATAAAGCAAAATTATATGTTAAAACTTAAAACCTTCTCATTTTACTACATTTTACTACTGTTTTAATTAAGATGTAAACACTAGTGTTTACATCTTAATTAGAACAGGCAAGTTCTTCCCCTCTATATATCTATAAATATAGTAATCACAATTAGAATACTTTTTCCTCCGAAAGTGACAACTTGAAAAAAAAAACCAACCACCAGATACCCAGATCA